CAGTTTACACTACAGATATTTAACAAGGTGGATGTTGATGTCTGAAGAAAAGGAGCAATGTTTCATTTGGTGCACGTTTATGATTATTCTAGATATTTCTGTTAATTCGTGGTGAAGGATGTTTGGTAAACAGTGACGTGTTATTTACGGTGCCAATGATGAGACTGAATATGAGGGAACCAGAGAGAGTTGTAATATGTAGGACTTGCAGACAGAAGCGAGGTGAGACAAAGCACTAAAGAGAAAGAAAGACGTAAAGAATGACAAAGAAAGATGAGGAGAGCGAGAGGACGAGTGGAAACAGAGCAGGGCGAGAGAGGAGCTATCTGACTAATGAACTCCTCTTATCTGACGGCTCTGCTGAGTGTCCAGCCGAGACGCAGGCGGAGGGAGAGTCCGACCGATGGAGACGCTCGTCCTCGGTGAGACGCTGCTCCCACAGCTCGCTCCTCTCAGACGGAAACACAATGCTAATGAAGCAACTCTGACACTTCTGGCAAACTAACAAGACATTTCTGATTGTGCTGCCGTCGTCTGAGGAACCAGCTGATTAAACGTGTGAATAATAAATACACAACTGATCACAGGACTGATTTGTTGTTCCGAGAAAGAGACTAATACAATTATCTGTACGCAGATGGAACCAAATGAATATGGTGTTACACTCACCATGAAGGTCGACGCTCTGACCTTGTTCCACTGTTAAACCGTGTGAAAAGCAGGTTTAAACCTGACACAGAATCGGGAAACTGTCCATGAGTGTGCACGTCCTTCAATTTAGTTGTGAGGACATGTCAGATCCTCACACCGGTCTGAGAGCTCAGACCTGGTTTAGGGTTCAGGTTAGAACCAGGGGAGGAGGCGAAGACGCTCAGTGGCGATGGCTGAAGTTAAGGCGAGGGGACGGTCCTCACAAACACAGCTCTACAGACGTGTGTGTGTGTGTGTGCGCGCAGGTGAGTTTGGTTGACAGGCTGCCAGGTGGTAATTACTACCTCCATTAGAAGACTGTGATCACGTTAAACACACACACAGCAGTGAAACACTCACAATGATCAGTCTTCATAGTGTGTGTGTGTGTGTGTGTGTAACAAGCTCTATGCCTGAAAAACTAAAATCTGTCATTTTGTTTCATTAAGTCACTGCAGCTCAGAGCAACGCCCCGAAATCTGACCTTTAACCTTTACCCCATAATAAGGAGGAAGAGGCTGTGTCTGAAATCGCCCCCTACTCACCACACACTTGTGTGTTTGCTACATCGTACTGGGGTCCAAATGCTATCTGCTATACCGTGCACTGAAAAATCACACAATGGAAGGTAAAAAAGCCGTGCACACGCCTTGTACTACTTTCTGCTAACAATCCCACAATGCAATGCTCCACATTGGTTCCACAGCGTTTAGTCAATGATTAGTAAATGTCCAAAATCTCAATTTACTGTTCACCACTGAGTAAAACCACGTAGTGTACATCATGTAGGAAGTAGTGAATGAGGAAGAGGACGAAGAGGATGAAGAAGATGAAGACAAGGAAGACACGAGACATCGAGTATGAACTAGGCCACAGTGACGAGACAAAAATGAGTGAAGTACAAAGGAAAACCTGACACAGCAACGAAAGAATAAATCGATCAGATGTAAAAACACTTGTGTCAAACTGTACAACATTGGTACAAGGTACGAAGCCTGAGGACGATTCAGCACTGGGAGTAACAGTAAGACCGACTAAGAATGTTTCTACAAAAGCTCTGAAACTTCGACATGTGTTTCCCAAAGCAGCAGCGAACAGCGAGTGCACGTGCACACTGATTCTTCACGTTGGCTGTCAGTGGAGCTGAAGGTGCACTGACCGCTGCACCCTGAACTGTCTGCACCCTGAACTGTCTGCACCCTGAACTATCTGCACCCTGAACTATATGTTCAGTCCATCCAATGTGTGTGAACTGCACAAAGAGCTGGGATTTGGTGGCAGAGTGAAGCTCAGTGAGCGGCCTGCAGCTCCATCAGCCGCGCCAGTGGGCGCACGTCAGCGTAGGAAAACAAACTTTGATCCAGCTGCTGCTGGAGGCAGACGCTCCTCTCAAACCCACAGTTCACCTGAAATAAAGCAGTGGGGGCTCGTGCCTGTTTAATGGGGACACACGTCAGCATTCCTCTGTTGGACCTTCTGCATTCAAGTAACATTCACATCACGGTTTCAAAAACTGCAAAGAACCTGGAAATATTCCATCACGAAAGAAGCATTTCAGCCAGAGAAGAAGAAAGTACTGAGCAAAAACAGGAGAATGAAAAACATGGAGTTTTTGGTTCCTGCAGCTTCTGAAGCGTCTGATGACGCCTGAGCCTCCCCCAGGAGGCACCTGTTCATTTACCATAGTTTCTGATGGCGTCTCCGATGCTTCGAGGAAACACCTCTTAGCAGTAAAAACAAGGGAAACAAGGAGTTGAAGTTGGCGCTGAGCTTTGGGATTTATGAATTTCATTGTAGAGATTTCACTGTAAAAGTTGCTCAAACTGCTTTTCTATTTTTGGAAATGTTGCAGTATTGTATGAAAAGTAGTCGTATTGTGGAGGACATGGTAATTAGAGCCAGGTGCCCGTCCGCTTGTGTTTCTACACCCTCTCACATCTACGTGCACACTGTTCTGTGGCTCTGGCTAAATGCAGTCTCTTTAGAAATTAATTTGCTGTGCAGAGAAAAACCAGCTCACTGTTCTGTATTCCTCACAGTTACTGCTGCACTGATTCGGCTGATCGAGTCCTAACTCTGTTTGTGTGTTAGTGTTCGTGCCTCTGTGTGTGCATGTGTGTGTGTGTGTGTGTGTGTGTGTATGTGTGAGCTCCTTTCAGACAAACAACAAAAGAGCTTTCAGATTCAAATCCAGTCCTACGACTCAGATGATGGAGACAGTTTAGAAAAAACCGTCAGGAGACATGAGAGAGTCCAACTGGCTAAAAGAACATCTCTTTCTCAGCTCCTTTCCACTGCTGTCGCCATGGTAACCGGGCATGATGCTGATTATTATGGGCTGCTCTGAGATGTGGAGGTAAAAGAGGAGCTGCAGACACAAAGGCAGCAATCCATCTATCTATTCATGCATCCATTTATCTTTGAAGGTCTGACAGGTGATCAGCCCTGCCCCTCCTCGAAAGAATAAGAGCAAATGAAGGCAGCTCTTCATGTCAGAAGTGTTTCTATCAATCACTGGTCCTCCAGTCCTCCATGAGACCTGGGGCCAGGTGCATAAATCTCAGCGGACGAGACTGGGTTCTGACAAGGAGGTGTGGCCACTAGCAAAGACTCTGTGTACGTGGCGGGACAGAAATATGTGCTGTTTTAGTCAGAAGTGTAACGACACACCAACAACTGGCTTTGTTTCATAAATGTCACTCATTGTACAGTAGAACAGGATGCATGTGCATGAGCTTCATGTCCAGAAGAAGTGCACTTTCAGGGAGTGTGTCACAGCAGCATCACAACATTTGTCATTACATGTTACTGAGTTTGTACACAGGCTTCTGTGCACCTTTAGGCTCCGTGGCCACAGCTCAGACACTGGTGATGTGCTGGAGGAGCCTGGTTTCACTGTGAAGGAGGTGGAGGGCCTTTACTGCCAAACAGACACAGGATGTGTTGACAGCGCTAGTGACGCCTCCTCGCCACTTCATCCTAAAACAAGGAGTTGTCAGGAATTCTTTTCAGGACTGTTTGAAAGGCTGCACAGATAGAACGGTTTGTCACTACATGATGAAGGAAAGCAGCCAGAAAACATCAGGTGCTGGCGACACGGCTCTGTGGAACAGCAGCACTGAGGCTCGTGAGGACTCGTGAAACAGATTTTCACCTGACCTCATCTTCTATCTTTACCTTCTGTAAGTCAGAGACTGGTGACAGCTCCACTGTGCACAGAAGACCTCCTGCAGGGAAACTGTAAAGGCTTTCATCCAAGTCATGTTTCCTGCAGCACGTAGCCATTGATCACATGCTCAATAGTCTCGACGAGCAGCTGGGTTCTCACGTAAACTGATCACCGGTGCAGACTGAACTACCCTGAAGGTACCAGTGTCTGAGCTGTGGCCAGTTTAGGAAAGGCAGCATGGACACAGACCGTTACAGCGTTTCGTAATTCAGAGCAGGAAAAGAAGAAGAAGAATGGGAGAGTTTCTGACTCATGCAGTGACTGAGCCACCAAGGCGCCTGAGAGAGAGAGAGAGTGATGCTATGCTGCAGCCTGCTGGGCCCTGGCATCATCTGGCAGCGTGTGTGTGCGCGCCTCCTGCGGTCCGCAGCAGGCTGAACTAATCAGTTAGCGGGTTAGCCGCAGTGCCGCTTGACCCTTTGACCTCTGGCTGCTCCAACAAACACATCAAAACGTGGAAACAGCAGAACCTGCCGAGCAGCGACGCACGGAGACATCCAGAGACTCACACACGCTGCACAACACAACACAAACTATCAGCTAAGTCAAAGCTTTTCACACAACAAACTCACCTGAACGTAACCATGGATACAGATGGGAGACACACACTTCAGTGATTTGTGTGAGTGTGTTTTCATGATGGATGTGGTGTCTAACCAGCTGAAGCAGGCGACTGCAGGAGGCGAAGCCCAGAGAAGTCATCTCGCACTCACGCAGACTAATTACTAATTGGTCCTGTGTGTGCATGTGTGTGCCGTGTTTTACTTACATTATGGGGACTGAAGCCTGTTAACACACTCACATTGTGGGGACTTGGCCATCCTTGTGGGGACCAGCCTCTGGTCAAACCACTGAATTTTAGAGTGGCAACATGGTTTAAGGTCAGGATGAGGTCAAGGTGAGGTCAGGGTGAGGTCAAGGTGAGGGTTAGGGTGAGTAGTGGTTATGGTTAAGGTTAGAATAAGTCTACAAGAAATAAATGGAAGTCAGTGTAAAGTCCCCACAGGAAATGAAAACACAGAGTGTGTGTGTGTGTGTGTGTGTGTGTGTGTGTGTGTGTGTGTGTGTGTGTGTGTGTTACCTTGTGCACACACCGTGGAGTGGAGCCACAGTTTGTTCAGCTCGACAGGAACCTGAAACACATGCACACATATTAGGTTAAAACCAACAAACACAACCCAGACATCAGCAAACAGCTCCTAGCGCCACCTCGAGGCTGCAGGGGTCATCGCAGGAGCAGGCTGTGACTGTGCAACGGTCGACGTGCACTGAGACTACTCGTCCATGTCGACCTTTGTCAAGGTCAAGAATTAAATGTCACACTGTCCAACCAGGAGGTGCGGCAGTAGCTGTAATACTGACACACACGCGCCGTGCGTGTCAGTACACGATGCGTTTAAGCACAGTCTCGAGTGTAGTTGTGGCGGTTTTGTTGCCTCTGTTGCATTCAGGGCGACTAAATGTATGACAGCACTACAGCTGTGATCGTCTTTAGTTTTATTTCATTTTAGCAATGCTTCCTCTTTAGTCTAAATGGATTTTATTGTGGTTTGTAATGCTGTTGATGCTTTTCTTCATGTAAAGCATGAACTGCCTCTGCATTTCAAATGTGCTATATGAATAAAGCTGCCTTGCCTTGAACAGCTCACTCACACTCTGGCAAAGAAAGCAGCCAAAGAAAAGCAGCAGAAGAAGAAGTGGACGACATGAAACTGTGGCTGTAACACTTTGTGTCCACTTCCTGTTTTGGAGAACGTATTTGGAAGTAAAAATACTAATATCACCCTGTAAAAATACTCCATTTACACTCGAGTTAAAAGTCCTATCCATGGTGCTGCTGGTGGTTCAGACAGGTATCACATCAGAGTCTCACATCGGATCCCTTCATGTGGTTTCAGGCCTTTTGTCTGCAGGAGACGTGTCTGACTGATCACGTTTCACCACACAGCTCAGCTACCGTGAATCTCTGTCGACAGAAAACACTTGTCGTGTTCGTTTCCTCTGGTCTAGACTCTGTGAACCGTGATCATTCTGCAGCCCAAGGCGCCCAAACAATGTCATGTCACACAATCCAAAACAGACTTGCATTAGTCTCATTAGAGTTCGACTGTGACGCGACCCTGCCAGGGTCTCCACCCGCCTCCTGTGTGAAGCAGTCTTTTTGTTTTCTGCAGACCTCATGAAACTAAATCTCATCTTTATAATTATATAGAACATAATGAAAAAGGACCAAAGAGCAGTAGAATGGATAAAAGCTCGGTGAAGACAGTGTTTAAAAAGATGAATTCATGAGTATTCATTCATGAATACATTCATCCTGGTCTTTTGTTGCATCTCAGGTTGCTCTGATGTTTCTAAATTCCTTAGGACACATACTGTGCTTAAAGTCAATCAAATACATTTTAATTCTTTTAAAAAAATAACTGTGCCCCTAAGCTTTCACCTGCAGCTACAAATAAATAAAAGTACAAATCCCTGACGAAGCACTGATGAACGGCAGCGCCCTCAAACGTTCTGAACTGCTGTCCTCCCGTTACCAGACGTTCTCAACGCCTTCCTGTCCCGACCTGTTTACCACACACACTACGTCAACGGGATCGGGGATGGAATAAGCTTTTTGTCTTTGTCACCAGTGGAGGCGTCTCACAGTGAGATCTGTGACCTCAGATTTCACCACGCTTCTTTGACTGTCAACTTTTTCCTGCAGCCTGAAATCATAAAATGAATCGTCTCTTCTGCTTCCCCTCCTCCTCACTGTCC